AAAAACCAAACAAAAAAAATTTACAACCCAAACTCAGTACCACACAAATATAACATGCTCAGACGAAACCTTAAAAACTTTCAAACTCATTTGAGTTGGATTTTGAAAGATTTTTAAGTTCTGTACTTAATATTTTTTTTATAGAATGTACTTAAATTTTTTAAGTAATCTTAATAAAGTGTGTATATATATATATATATATAATTTGCTCATAAAATAACTTTTTACGTGAAATTCTATGATGATTCCTCCACCTAAAATTCTACTCCCTACAAAACTTTGCAAACTCATGTTTGGGAATGAGTAACCAAAGTTAATAGAAATTTCACGTAAAATACTACTCCATTTTCAAATTATTTTTTAAAGTTGCATTTGTTGTTATTCACTATTTTGTACTTATTGATTCTTTATTAATAATTTTTTTATTTATTTTGGAATAAAACTTGAATTTTGACTACTGTTAGTGATTTTTATATATAAGGTAAATAGATATATAGTTGATAAACTTGCATAATTCTGGAAAAAAATATTGGCCCAAACTTAGTCTATTGGGCATTAAAACAATGAATTTATTTGGGTACTTTTCACTATTCCATAGAAGCTCATTAGGTAATATTGCTAGATATTTTTAACTTTTACAATTAGTAGGCATTTGGTCAATTCCCTTTTTTCTGCCATGTGAGCTGAGGGAGATGAAAGAAGATGTCAAGTTGTGTAATTTATTGCCAAGTTATACCCAATCAGCGTGAGGTAAGCTCATGTTAACAGGGCAATAGAAAGCAAGACGGAAAGATGGAGTCATCTTTAATAAAAAGGTTCATTTGCTGGTTTTGTTAAGTAAGAGAATCAATTTACATAGACTTCTAAGTAGGAGGACTGACAAAGCCAAGCAGAGGAGCTGAATTGGATCTTTTGCCTGAAAGGAAGGTTATGTAACTCAATTGTTCCATTTCCAATCCCTTACCCTCTGCTAATCAAAAACCCAATTTGCTTATCAAGCTTGTCTGTGAATCCCTCCCTACCAAAATGGTCGATGCTATAATTTCCTTTGTCCTAGACCAGCTAAAGACAACCATCGTTGATAAGGCCTCTGAAGAGGTGGGGCTGCTAGTTGGTATTGAGGAAGAAGTGGAAAAGCTTGAAAGAAATCTTCGTCTCATCAATACTGTTCTCCGAGATGCTGAGGAGAAGAAAAGAAGGGACGATCTTGTCAAGGAATGGCTGGACAGCCTCAAAGAAGCTTCTTACGACATGGGCGACGCGTTGGATGAGTGGAGAACTACAGTAGAGATCGAAGCACTTGAAGCACAAAATGCTGCTTCTCGGAAGAGGGTAATCTTACATACACTAATTAATCTCAACCTCTAGAGGCATTCATTTTCATTCTAATTATGATGTCTTACAAAACATCAACTATTTCTAAAATAGTGAGTTAATTACTATCAATTTTAAACAGAAACTGTGCAATTTCATTTCGTCCTTTTCTATTGGTCGTGTATATACCCGTCGTAAAATTGCCCTCAACGTAAAGGAAATCAATCAAAGATTAGATGATATTGTAAAGGAGAAAGAGAAGTATCAGTTGCAGCTGATGTCGATATGTAACACAATCAATCATCCTCAACAACGGCCAGAAACTTCGTCTTTTGTGGATGTGTCAAAACTATGTGGCCGGGGTAAGGAGAAGGCAGAAATACTGAACTATTTGTGGGGAAGGAGTGGTGAAGAGGAGACTGTTGAACTAATCACTACCATATCTATTGTAGGGATGGGGGGGTTAGGAAAGACTGCTCTTGCACAACTGATATGCAATGATGATGATGTTAAAGGGCATTTTGACAGGGTAATCTGGGTTTGTGTCTCTGACCTTTTTAATGAGAGAAGAGTTGCGAGGGCAATCATTCAAGGGCTTGAAAAACCTACTGGTGCTGCTGCATATGGCCTAGAATCGAATCCATTGCAGGTCCTTTTGGAAAGGATTTCGAGCTATATCCAGGGAATGAAATATTTTCTTGTTTTAGATGATGTTTGGGATGGAAATAAAGGTGAGAGGTGGGAAGGACTGAAAACCACTTTCAAATTCGGTGCCCCAGGAAGCAGAATTTTGGTTACCACACGCGATGCTGAAGTTGCAAAAATGATGGGGTCCTCTTCCTCACAAATCATTTTTCTGGAGAAATTGACTGACGAGCAATGTTGGTCAATAGTTAAACATATTGCATTAGAAGGAAGGCATGATCAGAATTTGGAGAAAATTGGGAGGGAAATTGCAGAGAAGTGTAAGGGGTTACCGCTTGCTGCAAAAACTCTAGGAAGCCTTTTAAAGTCT